TGCATGTAATGCATGTAATGCATGTATGTATGTATGTATGTATGTATGTATGTATGTGTTTATGTATGATGCAGGGCTGCCACACCCCCCCTCCCCTGTGGTGAGTCGACAATCGGATCATGTTTGACATCATGCTGAACATCATCATTGTCGTCATCATCTTCATCATCAGTACCATCAAAAGAACAGCTGCCACCATCACCATCGCCATACAACCCTCATAATTAAGCATTGTAATTCATGTCTGATGCGGTAAGCTACTGCGCAGATTGCCGCTTTCTGCACGGAGCAGGGGTTGGGTACCATGCGGGTGGGGGGGGAAGTGTGGCCCCCCCAAGCCGCGCAGCAGCAGGGGCAGGGTGTCGCAGGCGACACCCCAACTGGCGGGGGTGGGGGATACCATGGGCGGGGGGGTTGGTGGCCCGGGACCCGAGAGCATGTATGTATGTATGTATGTATGTATGTATGTATGTATGTATGATTTATGTGTGTGTGTGTAGGTGTGTATGTGTGCATGTGTCTGTGAGTATGTGTGTGTAGGTGTATAGGTGTAGCTATCGGTGTAGGTATATATGGGTGTATTTGTATGTGTACGTGTATGTATGCATGTATGTACGTATGTATTTATGTACATACGAAGCCGTTCATTGGTTTCAGGGTTCACACTGTGGGTCCACGCAAATGGTTCCTACCGACTGCAAGTCAAGTGCAAACAAATAGGCGCACACACAAGAAGTGTTATCGTGTAGAACCTGCCTCACGAACCCTGGCCGGAATTCGAACCTCGAAGTGGAACTCGACCACCCCTAGGCCAGCGCCCACACCCCCCTCATCCAAGAAGAAGAAAAAGGCCTCTCGAGCTCGAGCATTCCGAAACGACATCGCAAATTGCCTTTGCAAGTCCTCGAACATTGCAAAGCTCGTACATCAGAACCTGGGCAGTAGCCTGGCCTCAACAATACGTCCAGAATCAAACATCCGCTGGAAAGATCGGCAGTGGAAGAGCCTTTCATCTCTCTTGGGCGTTTGAACACTCTTCCGCATCTTGGAGTCTTCTTCCTGCGAATCTGGGCCCAGATGTCGTGGAGAAGGACGTGGTTCGGGCGCCAATCTCTCAGGAGTTTGTGAGGGCCACATTTGAGTTTAGTCAAAGGTTTGAGCTGTTGAGTTCAGGGCCGGAGGTTGCAAGCTCGGACTATTATCTTTAGAGCGCCCAAGGCATTTCTATAGAAGGTTGTTTCTTGTGGTTGGGGCAAATGTGAAAAATACGAAAACATACAAAAAATACGCAAACATACCAAAAAAACGAAAACAACCGAAAAATACGATAACATGTCAAAATATGCGAAAACATACCAAAACATACAAAATAATACCATGGGCATGCGAAAAAATACCATAGGCAGTCGAAAACATACGATATCGTGCCATTGCTTGCCGGGGGGTTCTGCTGTGGGAATGTGCTGTGGGGAGACTACTATTGTATGTGTCCAAACCTAGTAATTTCTTTGTGTAATGCCATATTGCTGCATAAAAGTAAACCGCTTGCCAGTTGTTTTTAATTTTTTTGTATGTTTTTTGTATTTTTTTTTATGTATTTTTTGTATTTTTATGGTATTTTTTGTATTTTGCTGCTATTTTTGGGTATTTAGCTTGTATGTTCTTGTATGTTGCTTGTATTTGTTTATATGTTAACTGTTTCTGTATCGTGCACTTTATGTAGCCGGCTGTCTCTGCCAATGTTAGTTTCGGTTTTGTTGCTGTGGTACTTGGATGTCGTTTCTGGTAGTTGTTGCTAGTAATTCGGTACGTTTGCAATGCTTTCTCGTATGCTGGCAATATTTTCTCGTACGTTGGCATAATTTTCTCGTATGTTGGTATTATTTTCTGGTATGTTGATGATATTTTTTGTTGTATTTTTTGTATTTTTTGTATGGTGGAAAATGGCAAGAAACTACCTTCTATAAATATACCTTTATCATTCTTTTGATATTAAGGCCGCGCTTTTCGGGGTGAAGATGTGGGGTTGAGGTTTTGTACGGCGGGGGCGTATATAAGTCTATACCATCGTGTGACCGCCGGATGAAGTTGGAGACGAAGATGAGGGAGTTTCGAAAACAGGAGCGAGTAAGACTCGACACGCCTAATCTTCAGAAGCAACCATTCCGGGCTTCGTGCCAGGCGGAAGGTGGAACGTGCAAGATGTGGATTGGGAGCTAGGGCAAACCTCGGCCATCCTGAACCCTAAACCAAAATCACCTAGCACTAGATTCCAAGACCCTTAGCCCCAAAGCCCCAGACCCTTATCGCTGGCCGTTCAACCTTCGAACCCTGTAAACCCCAAGCGCAGGAACTTACTTCAGGTTGCCCTAGTATGGAAGCGATTTGCAGCCTACATGTTTCGGCACACTGTCGGCAAAATAAGAGGGACAGAGAGAAAGAGGGAGGGAGAGAGAGATAGAGCGGCAAGAGCGAGAGACAGAGAGAGAGAGAGGGAGCACCCAGAAACTGGCAACTCAAGAAACAGAGACAGATCTAAGAAAGACGTCAGGAAGGAAACTAACAAAAAGATAAGGAAGGAAATCAACAAGCAAGGAACGAAACACAACGAAACAACTAAAGTAAGAAGGAACGTGAGAAATAAATGCACAAAGAAGTAAAAGAAACAAAGAAGCACATAGGAAAGAATGAACCAACTAAAGACAACAAATGAAGAACGACAGCTACATAAGGTGTGTGTGTGTGTACTCATGTATATATATATACACACATACATACATTGTTACATACATACATACATACATACATACGTACATACATACATACAAACATACATACATACACACGCACGCACAATCAACTAGATATGCATACCTGCAGATTGTGGAAACTCAGCTGAATTGCCCTAACTTAACAAGAATCCCAGTTGTGGGCCCGTCAGGTTTTCGCTGGTCCTGGAGGCTGCCGAAAAGGACGCAGCTCTGGTGTGGGCAGTTGGGGTTGAGGGTTTAGGTGAGGGTTACGGGCTTTCAGAGTGTCCCTTGAAAGCTTCAGGGGTTCCTGTGTGGGAGCGTTTTCGTTGGCTTTAGGTTGTAGGGCTGGAGGCTTTCGGGCTGGGCAAGTCCGAATGATGCCTTTATGGCTTTGGGCTTTCCGGGGTTCAGGGGGGCCTTATGGCTTTTGAGTCTTCGATGGGTTAGGGCGGCGGCCTGGAAGTGTAGTGTTGGGGCTGCGGTTGAAAATGGAAAATGAATTGGAGGAACCGGTAGGACCGGTAGGATAGGATTTGTGCAAAACGCAGTGCCAGCACTTCCGATATCTTCCGATGCATACATGTAAGCATCGTGCTAGTGGCTAGTAACGGCTAGCGACGATCATCGCCGCTGGCCGGAGAGCAACAAGAGCACACCTATCATGAGATTGACGAGATAGAGCGGGGCAGCAAGAATAGTCGTAGTGACACAGGCAGTTATGTAGGGGCCTCATGATCGGCCTCACCCCACTCCTTTTCGACTCCGGTGACGCTTCTTTTTGAACATGCCAGGGAGTGTTTTGCGAGGATGTAGCCTCTGGAAGCGTCGCATGTCGCATGGGAATGGCCAGCATGGTGTGGTGTGTCCGTGTGTCTGACTCGGAATGACTTCGCAACTCTGTACATGTGTGCTGTTTGTGCTGGTGGCTTGTTCAGTACGACGGTGTCTGGATTGCCGATCGCAAGGGTTGGCCTGTTGGACTCTTGAGACGAAGGCCTTCATGCAGACACCCCCCAGTCAGAAGCCGGAACTGCAAGCTAGATTGACATCACAGCCAAAAACGCAATGCGAGCGAAAGATGCAGAACGGATCGCAAGGAGTGATACGAATTAGGTGGAATAGGCGCAGGGGCTGAAGGCATGGGTTGGCTTTGAAGGGGTTTAGTGCTAAGGGTTAAGGGCTTACAAGGATGCATCGGGTTGAAGGCATCGGGCATCGGGCACGAAGTTTCCAAGGGACCGGTGCAGAAATAATTCAACAGTCTAAAACTAGCCCCCTGTGTTGCCGTATCAAGTCGCCAAGGAGCCTTGCAACCGAATCCTAAACCCGGAAACCCAGTGGGAAGAGTTGCGTGCTCTGTTCCTAGCTGCAGCTTTCAGGAGCATGTGCGAGCACAGTATCTGATCGGGTCCCGCGCTCAGCTTTCGACACGGCTGTGTATTCAGGGTTCAGGCTGCATTTTTGGGGTCTTTGGAGGCTGGCGCTGTTGTTGACCATTTGAAGATTTCTAGGGTCCTCTGGCAGCATCTTGTCGTTTTAAGCTTTAGCCTCCCGGTGCTTTGATTTCGTGTCACCAAGAGCACTCCTACTTGTAGTATTTTTCTTTCAACCCTTTTTGTCACATGATTTCGATATTGTCGTCATCACGATTTCTGAGCGGAAGCTTCACTAGAACCCTCCGCCCCTCATTTTCCTCCTGCCTCTGAACCTTGCCTAAATCCGAAAAGCCTGAGCCTGACCGAATCCGAAAGCAGCCGAGGCTGATGCTTGTTCGAGGAGAGGGCTGCGAGGTAGACGCGGAGGTTGGGGTGAACTTCATCCTCATGGCGGCCGAGGAGCTCTGGAGGGGGGGGGACGGAGGGGCCATCGACACGGGCAATCCCCTGCAAAATCCATTTACTCTCGGTTCAACCGTTCGCTCTCCCGACTTGGTCTTCAAGGCTCTGCAAACATGTAACATTTTGCCGCGATGAGAGCGAAGCCGAACTTCGCATGTCAAATAGCCTCAGGCAACTTCAAGTGCGTTGCATGTTAAATTCTCCGTTGTCGAGAGGATGGTCTGCCAGCTGCTCAGCACGCGATGGGGAAGATCTACATGGAAGGTGTCCTTGCGCAGGGAAAGGACCGGTTTAGGATTGGGGGCTGGCGCAATCGAGGGATCACTGTTTCTGAAAAACTTGATGACACGCGAACCTCTCGCCAAAAAGGTACATAAGCTCAGTCGACAAAGACAAAAAGAACAGTTGGCATACGAGCATTTTCGAACAGGAAGGATAGAAGAGACAGCAACCTTAGCTGCACAAGGATTCGTACTAATCACTAGTTCTCGTAGTGCGAGCCCTGTCTTGCGAGTCAGCATAGCATAGTACCTCTTTGAGGGAACACAGGGGGGAAGAGCTTCTGTCCCGAGAAGTCGTGCGGGGGCCCGGGGGGCATGGAGGTTCGGCTGACTGTACTCTGTCTGTCTGTCTGTCTGTCTGTCCGTCTGTTCGTCTAACTAGCTAGCTAGTTGGCTAGATGTGTTTCTGCATGTGGTGCTGCGGATCCTCAAGCCGGCCCCAAAGCGCAGGTTGTTCGGTTCAAGACTCTGGGCAGGACATGCTGTCAGCCGCCTACTGGCTGAAGCAGGCTTGGCTTGGAAGGCTCAAGGCTTTAAACGGTCTACGGTTGTCGGCGTAGGGTCTAGAGGCGTCTACAGGTGTAGGATGAAGGGCTTGGATTGTAACTGTAGGACTTAGGGCACCTCGTTTTTCGCGTTCGGACCCGAGATCTCGAAGTTAACATCGTCGATAGTGCAACAATCTCAGGCTTGGGAGACTAGAAAGTTTCCCGAGTGTCGTCATCTGAAAGATTTCAAGAATCACATCAGAAGCCCTGAGCCATAAAACCTAAGTCAGAAGCAAGCACGCCGGAGTGCTTCTGCAATCTTCCCAACTCGACGCCTGGCGATTAAATTTGGGGGTTGAGGGGCGTTTCTTGTCGTTTGGAGCATGACAGCTGCACCAGCAAACCACTACTAGGTGGCCCTGTAAGGATGCCGAAGTACCTTTTCTGGGCCTTAAGCTTAAGCTACAACCCCGCAAGCCATACCTGAATCCCTGAGACTCCAAAAAGTCCCAGCCCCTTGACATCTTTCATCCGACACCGTAAAAAACTCAACAGCCGCTTCCATAACTGTAACTTGATCCCTTGACTGCCGTAAAGAAGTCGACCCCAAACACCTTACAGCCGGTAAAGCCATCTGAAGGCTCATGGTCGAACGATATCAAAACGCCGTAAGGACAGACAACTACCTGTAAAGCCTAGTAAAACCCTCGCCTTGAACCTGGTCAAGCCTCCACACTGTTCCTTTGAGCGCCCTAATATCTCTATGGTCCCTTCCAAAGGCCCCGTTCCCCTAAACTCTAAGCCCATCTAAGCCCCCGGCCCTTTAAACCCTGGACCCTGGACCACACGCCCTTCACCCGTGCAAACACAGACTAATTCCGAAAGCGACTGCTCCATGGAGGCCGCGGCAAATCGCCACATTCAGGCACCTTCTTTTTTGTGGCTCTCTTTCCAGGTGTTTTTTGTATTCAGGGGTCTTGTTCAGTTTGAAGGGTTCAGGGGTTTAAGGTCTTCGGGTGAAAGGTTGTGTTGGTGTTTTGGAAGTTTAATGGTTCAGGGTTCATGTTTTCTTTTTGTTTTCAGGGGTTCGCTAGATCCTGTATGGCTGGGTTTCCACTTGAGGGGACCCTATGGTAGACTGGCCCCGTCTTTGTGCACAGTTCTTTTGCCAGATTGTCTCCCGGTTTCAGGATGTTTACTGCTTGGGGACTCAGAGTCTCAGTGCTTCGGGACGTCAAAGCCCCAGCAAGGAAGCTTTAGGTTCCTGAGTTTGCGGTTTGCACCCGCAACGAAGCATAACATCCTGAGAAGTTCATGAGTACATGAGATGACGCCGCAGCCCTCAGCACTACGCCCCACGGGCTGATGACTAAAGCCTTGGACAGTGAAAAGTATATTACATTGCAAGACGCAGCATGTGTCCATGGGGCCTCCAAGCTCTGGTGGCTTCCATGGTCTCCGGCCACCTGCAGCATGTTGGCACCCATCGCATTCGCAGAACATGTGCTACTAGGACCTGTGTGGCGTTGACGAAGCTATACGAAGCTTTTCGCACCATTCATGGTGTCACGAAAGGTGAAGGCACCTTCATTCAACGGCAGGGGTCAAGCGCTCATGAGCAATCATATGCTGCCGGGCTCGCACATCGCAACGCCACCTCAATAGACGGAGACAAGTATATGAGAGCTAAGCTGCTCATTCGACAGCCCTCCGGCGTCGATAGCCTTGGAGCCAGACTAGATGTGCCATCATCTATGATAAACATCTAACTCATGTAAAACCAATAAGCATATAAAAGTCTTGAGCATTGAAGAGGCGGCTTCGAGAGGTGGACATCTTAGGTGACAAGTGTGCAGCTTCAAGTCAGGGTGTTAAATGAACTATCATGTTGCATGCAAGCTTCCTTGCCGTTAAATTTGGTCACAGGAGTAGACTCCCCTGCGAAGTTCAGGCCCAATTGATGCTGGGCAACATGCTCCTGAACGGCGAGGGCATTCGGCGACTCTGGGAGTCATCGAAGGGTTCGGAGGGGGTCTAGGCCTTTGGGGTTTTGGGAGTTTCGGGGATCTTGCAGCGGGATTGCAGGGGGTATAGCGTTCATGCTTCGTGCTCATGGCTGTAGGTCACATCCGAAGTTTCCAGGTATGTATGCGCATCCTCAATCCGAGGGCAGTTCCATTTTCGCATTGTGAGCCGCATTGTGAGCCAACATCAACAAGAAGCTTCGAGGATCCGCACCTTCTTCTCGAAGGCGGTTTTGCACAGGGGGATGTTTCTAAAAGGTCGTCGTCTTAGTCGTCGTCCTCGTCGGCGCAGTCGTCATCGTGGGCGTCGTCGTCGTCGGCGGCATCGTCGTCGTCGTCGTCGTTGTAGTCGTAGTCGGAGTCGTAGCCGTCGTGCTGCAGCAGCAGTGGTAGCAGCAGAAATTTCGGCAGCAACAGCGGCAGGAGCAGGAGCAGGAGCAGGAGCAGGACTAGTAGTGGTGGTGGTAGTAGTAGTTGTAGTAAGTAGTAGTAAGAAGAAGAAGTAGTGGTAGTAGTAGTAGCAGCAGCAGCAGCAGGAGCAGTAGTAGTAGTAGTAGCAGTAGTAGTAGTAGTCGTCGTCGTCGTCGTCGTCGTCGTCGTCGTAGTAGACGTTGTAGTTGTAGCAGTTGCAGTTGCAGTAGTAGCAGTAGCAACATCAGTAGTAGCAGTAGTAGTAGTAGTAGTAGAAGAAGAAGTAGAAGTAGAAGTAGAAGTAGAAGTAGAAGTAGAAGTAGAAGAAGTAGAAGAAGTAGAAGAAGTAGAAGAAGTAGAAGAAGTAGA